GTTTAATGCAGATGAAAGCGGATTTTATCTCTGTCCAAAAAGCGGCAAAGTCCTTGGACCAAAAGGATATAAAAACTTATATGAAATTACCAGAGGAAACACAAAAGAAAATTTAACAGTTCTAGTTACGATTTGTGCTGATGGTAGAGTATGCCCACCTGTAGTAGTATTTCCCTATGTGAAACCACCTCGAGCATTAGTAGAAGCTATGCCTAAGAATTGGATTTTGGGAAAATCAGAATCCGGCTGGATGCGAACTGATATATTTTTTGAATTTGTTGCCAATGCATTTAATAAATGGTTAGAACAAGAGAAGATTAAAAAACCTGTACTGTTTTTAGTAGATGGGCATCGTTCTCACATGTCTTTAGACTTAAGCAATTTTTGTGATGAAAATGGGATAATTTTATACGCATTTCCACCTAATGCAACGCACATACTACAACCGGCAGATGTGTCGGTGTTTAAGCCACTAAAAGTGTATTGGAAAAATGCTGTACGAAAATGGGAAAGCGAAAATGAAGGAAAAGCGTTATCAAAACTAAATTTTTGCCCAGTTTTTCATAATGCATTGCATCATCCTCAGATGCCAACAAATATTAAAAATGGTTTTAAGGCATGCGGCTTGTTTCCATTTAACCCTGATCATATTGATTATACAAAATGTGTTCGTGATACTTTAAAGGTAATTAATGAAAACAGTAAGGATACAATAGATCCAATAACTCAAAAAGATCTTAATAGTACTCTTAAAGTACTAACTTTTATAAAAGAAAAATGTTCTGAAGAAGGCATAAATATTACGCCCATTGTTGAAATCGTTAACTCTTTACAATTGCAGACCTATCAAATAAACCTTGACGGTTCTACAGAAACTGCAAATGACATCGTTAATTGTGCAGAGTATGAAGTGACCGACGATGGTACTTTACAACCTATTAATGTTGAACAAGTCAACGTCAGTAAAAACGAATGTAATTTGAAAATTCCCGACGAAGAAGTAAATACATTGTTAGAAAATGTTTTAAACCAATCGTTGCCTTCTGTAAGTACAGTTTTAGACGTCTTTGAAGACACGCTGCCATCATTTTCGATTTGCAGTGTCAAAACTTCAAGTCCCTTAACAGTTTTACAGGATAAAAATCCTGACATAAATATTGCTTTACAGGAGAAAAGTCCTAACGTAAATATTGCTTTACAGGAGAAAAGTCCTAACGTAAATATTGCTTTACAGGAGAAAAGTTCTAACGTAAATATCGCTTTACAGGAGAAAAGTCCTAACGTAAATATTGCTTTACAGGAGAAAAGTCCTAACGTAAATATTGGTTTATCCGCATCTGAAGAATCACCATTTACTAAGCATTTAAAATATCCTCAGCCGCTTCAGAAATCTGCTAAACCCCTTCGTGAACGATTTCCTAGTGCTATATCATCAGAGGCATGGAGGCAGCATTATAATAAAAAAGAAAAAGAAAAAACGGACAAGGAAAACGAAAAGAAAAAGAGATTGGAGAATAGGAAGCGAAAACTAAATATTAACACCGTGTACAAAAGAAATAAAGTACCAAAGAAAGTGGCAACTAAGGTATCAGATCATGAAGATACTCTGCATAATCAAGTCAAACAAAAATGTGGTGTTTGTTTAGAAAATCTCTACAGTGATGCCGAAGAAGATAGCGAAAAGAATGTTGGCTGTGACGATTGTCCAATCTGGTATCACCTAAAATGCACTAAATTTCAGGGACGTGTCTACAGTGAAGTGATAGATGAAGCTTTTAGGTGTGATATGTGTGACAAATATAAATTACAATAATTTTTTTTTAAATGTCACAATATAAAAATTTATATAACAAATATAAAAACGTTTACATTGTTTTTAGCCACTTTTTTATCGATGTGTTGTATTTATTTCATATCTTCAATAATAATTTGTTCTTGTTATCAATGAATCTTGGTGTTACTTACTTTCGAGACCAGTATGCATTTATTTATCTACTACAAATTATTTGTTAATTTCTATTTTTTACAATTAAAACTAACCTAACATAGGTGAGTTTCATTGAAGATTTTCCCTAATACCACACTGTCTGAAGAGAGCCAATAAAATAAGGGCCGACTACTAACTTATTTCTGGACGACTACTAAAATGTACTGGCCGACTACTAAGAAAATAGACATAGATTAGTACTATTGATAATATAAATTAAATTTATAATATATAGTTACTAAAATTACTCAAGAACTTAAGAAAACTATTCAATCTATGCATTCAAAAAATTCTATTAAGAAACTCTAACAGCTTTATAGTTCTACAACGATTCGAAATTGACATTAAACAAAACTGGCCGACTACCGGTCAAATCACCCTACCTAAGGGTGGGAAATGTCACCCACCTGGGAGACATTTCCCACATATGTCTCCCGGCTCTTTTTCGGAATTTTTCAATATCTTTCTTCATACCCCAGTCATTTGTATTCTTACTTACTGTTATCAGTAGCGCACCTAGAATTTACCTCCGGGGGGGGGGGGGGGTGTTAAGTCCTTAAAATTTGTGAATACCTGTGTCAGAATAGGGTCCTGGGAGGGGGGTTTAACCCCCAAACCCCTCCCCCTGGGTGCGCCACTGACTGTTATTATTTTTCTCTTAAGGTATCTGCTGCATCTTTTCTTCTATATTTACTATATTGTGGTAGTTATTGACTGCAAATAAATAACGAACATGACTTAGCTTTAAATTGATCTATTGTAGAAAAGTGTTAAATTCTGCTACACTAAAAGTTGTGAGATCTTCAGATCTTGTAGTCTTATCTTCGAAGCATATCTAATTATAATAAAACAATTATCTTAAATATAACCCATACACTATTAAAATATTTAACTCCTTGAGTTCCTATATGTTTTAAAATTACATGTCCTTTACTGCCTTAATTACTTTTTCTGAAATATATTTTTGTGTGATAACTTTTTTTTAAGAGTCGCCATATCTAATGCTGTTGTTAATTCCAGTATTATTTCTAGTTCAAAAATCTAGTCCTCTGTGTATTGCTTTATATAAATTCTTGTCTTTTCTACTAGGAGGACTATCTCCTCTGATGAATTATCTCCCTGTATGTCGCCTAATTGATCATAGAAAGCTTTTCTTTCAATCTCACCAGACTGATTTAAGGAACATACACACAAACAACATTTCTTAATCAAATACAAATTTCGCTGTCAATATTGTAACACTTGTTCTTACAACTTCTACTACATTATCTCTCATTTATTTATCAACATTATAACATTACTTTTCCATGTAGACCACAATTTTTATCCTTCACCTAGTTCTTTAGCTCTTTGTTATTTTTATTTCTTCTCTTGAATGCAAGAAACTTATTCTCTCCTTCTTTTAAGCGAATCTTCTTCTTCTTGACTGGCTCTACAACTCGGGGTGAGGCTTCGCCGTATCTACTATAGCCCTCTATCTACTATCTTGCGTTTTTATTTCTCATTGTTGTACCCGAATCCTAGATAAATCAGGTTCAACATCATCCTTCCATCTTTTTCTGGGACTGCCTACTGATCTTCCACCATTTGGTCTCTCAAAATACACTGTCTTTAGCACTCTGTGTTCCTCTGATCTTACCACATGACCTGCCCAACTTATATGGTTAGCTGTTATACGTCTGACAATGTTTTCACTACCATAGAGAGTCACCAGTTCAGCACTGCGCTCCTCCTCCTGTCAATTCAGCTCTTTGAAGTCCAAAAATCATTCTAAGAACCTTCCTTTCAAATACCAGCAGCTTATTTATTGCCTGCTGATTAGTCCATGTTTCACTTCCATATGTAACAACTGGGCGAATAATTGACTTTACTGTCTTAATTTAGATTTTTATTTAGCAGCTTAGATCTTAATAATGATGATAAGCTTTAATGCTCTATTTCCCGCAGCTATTCTTGCTGAGACTTCTTTTTCTATGAGGCTGTCATCTGTGATTACAGTCCCCAGATATTTTAACTCTTTTACTACTTCGAAGTTGTGGTTATTAATAGTTACATTCTTCCTAACTCTTGGTCTTGGATTTTTGGCTAGTAGCATGTATTTTGCCTTCTTCTCATTTATTCGAATATCCAGACTACCTGTTTCCTCATCGAGTTGTGAAAACACTTCTTTCTCATCCCTTGTAGAATGAGAAACTGCTTCATCAGCAAATGCCAATAATAGTTTTGATCCTCGATTCGCAAATTCCCCTTTCAGCTCAGACGATATTTTACTTATTAAATATTCTAAGGATAAATTAAATAGCAATAGTGATTAGGGCTCTCCTTGTCTAAGTCCTGATGTTATACTAAATGACATCAATGTCCTGTTTTTATCTTTTCCTTTGCATATGAGTCTGTCATGCATATTCAAGTAAGCTCCACTAATTTTCTTGGTATTCCGATTTCTAGCACTACTAGCCATAGTCTACTTCTTTTTATAAAATCATATGCTCACTGGAAATCTACAAAATTTAGGTGTACATCTCAATTGAATTATAAGCGAATCTACTAACTCAATATTCTACCTATATGACTTGAAAGATATCAATATCCTATCTTGATTTTTCCAACTTAATTGATCTAATTTAGAAATCTGAATGGTAATTCAGTTTGCTTCCAGAACATTTTACCTCAGGAGATGCTATCATTCCAGTATAATTTTTGTTATATTGGTGGTCTTTTCATTACAATGGCTTGAAAATATTTTCGAACCATTGATGCCTGAATGCGTTTTCATCAGCCAAGTCCTGCATGATTTGGTCAACATACCACCAATGCAACCAAAGTGAAATGTTACCCCACACACAAACACTTACATTTTCCAGTACAGATCAGGATTTTTATTGTAAGGATAAATAATAGAAATAAGATGGCCAAATAAAGTAATATGACATAAACTTTCTCCAAAGGTAACTTATTTTTCCTTACCTTAGAATTCAGAATAACATAATGACAAAAAAAAAAACAAAAAAACTTTTCTACATTTTTTTATTTGCCCAGAATATATTGATACATAGCTGAACAGAAGCAAATTTTTATAAAGAAACACTTCAAATTTCAATGGATGTATTTAGTATTTTGTATAGTTCATGTTGAATAATTTTATCAAGAGAACACAAAATTTACAAGTATAGAAGTCAAACAAAAATATAATAAAACATAATTTCCTAAGCTACATAGTTATATTCATTTGGTTTATTCTTGTCACGTTCCATATACTCTCTGTCAATAAGTGATTCTATACACTTTTTTAGGTCAGCTGGTTTCACAGGAAACTTAAGTTGAGCATATAGTTCACTAATTAGCAAATTATGACTTAGTGCTTTTCGCATTTTCATTATACGAACAATTGCAGCATCGATTTGATATTGTCTATCTTGGAATACTCGCTCTTCAGTATCTTTTTGTTCTTTTGCTGTTTCTTTAATTTGAACTTGATTTATAGTTATCTTAAATAATTTATTATAAAATTCATTGTTCAATCTAAACTTATCACTATTTTCAATGTTTCTTCCTTTTGGAATTTTATTTAAGATTCTCACTTTTCCACAAGCTAAAGATTGTAAAGTTCTTCTTAACTCCCCATCTTCTATATTTGTAGCTGTTTTTATGTCTGCAAAACTAATTTCCTCATCCTCATTAAACAACAAAATTACCAGAGTTTGGAACAATGATACAACTAATTCCTTTTTGCCAGTCTTAAAGGTTGCTTTCAATATGCAGTGATGCAAAGCAGGTTGCCATTGGAGTTTTCTTCCACTGTATCTACTCAAATAATAATTATTAAATGTATCTTGGAATTTTGTGAACTGTTCTGGAAAGATAACATCCATAGTTAGATATGTTGGCCAGAAGCCCATTGTAAGAATATTCACTGTCATATCTATGGGAGCTAAATGTAGATCACTGCTTTTCAGGTAAAATTTAAAAGAAGAATTTATATCATTGCTAAGTTCCATATCTTTAAACATACCTTCTAATTTTGAAGTAAAAGCTCCACCACATTCTTGCTTCAATTTACTAAGCATACTTTTTTCAGCATCTACACTTGCTGATTTGCCTACAAGAAGTCTTTTAGCCAGATCCTTTTTGTAAAAGGCTTCAAATACATCTTTTCCGTGAATAAAACGGAAAAGAACCATTGTTTTATCTAAAAGTAAGTCCAATTCTTCTTCTGTAGCAGCTTTGTTCCCAGCACGTAGCTTAGAATCAACAAATTTTGCAGTAAGTTCAGCTAGTTTATTTGTTCTCTGATTAACAAAATATTCAAAGGCTTCCTTAAGAGCATTGTTAAACTTATCACTTTTATCAAAGCATACATTGACTATATTGTCTAGTGAATCTTTAAAATCTAGTAATTCTTGTACAATGGTTTTATCTTTTTCAGTATCTATAACCATAGAATTTCCTTTCTTTTTAATGTATATCTTAAAATGGTTACACAACTCCACATGTCCATTACTCACAAGGCCCAATAACTGATACAACAAAGATAGATCGTGTATTCTATTTTCATTTAATAATTGATCAAGACCTTTTTGTAGTATAATGGTTACATGTTCACCAAGCAGTTGTTTTTGAACTATGTGAATTAGTTGGAATTCAGTTCTTGAATTCAAATAATTAATAACCCTTTCTTTCTCTTCCTTAATTCTTTTATCAACATAAATCAAGTAATTTGAAACTTCTAGTTCCTGTATCAATTTTTGACCTTCTGCTCCATAAAAATGTTCAGTTGACAGCAAAAACTTTTGTTCAAAGATATTGTCATAAATTTGCAAATTAGTTAACATATTTAGTAGAGATTTCAGTAGTGTTTTGTTACCTGTATCACCCTGTCTTTCTTTTTTAATAAACATCAGCAGACCTTCTACTAACCTGGTTTGTATAAGTCTATTTAAAACAATGTATTTACTAAATAACTTCAAACCCATATCCCAAATGGGAACAATATTGGGGTTTTGGAGAACATATGTTCTATCTAAATACAAAAATATACTTCTAATCATCATCATCTGGTTACAATGAGCCAACCATTGCTCATTCATTTTCTGTAAAAACAAAGAACTGTCCATTGATTCTGATAAAAATTGTTCAATGTTAGTGGAAACATGGGCTTCAGTCAAATTATATAAGCGATCATACAAAATTGGACCCATTTTATGATTGCACAGGTTTTCAATTGCTTGATACAGTTCCTCTAAACAGTATTCATTTGATACAGACCGTTGGATTGCATATATAGCACTTTCCAATTTTTTCCATGTTTGCTCTTGGTAGTCAGGAGGAAGCACTGGCCGGGTTTTTAAATTCTTTATGATTAATTTCTTTGCAGTGGACTTGCTATTAATCAAATTTAAGTTTCTAGTACCTCTAGTTTCTGTAACACTGGAAAAATTCGATCTATGATGTATGGGATCTGATTCTTCATTCATATTTATTATTTAGTATGGACGATTTTCTTAACTCTTTTTAATTTTGATAATAAATTATAAGCATAGCTTAGGTATACACTTCTTCAATTAATAATCAACTGTGAGTTGATTTTTGAGCGTAATATACTGTTGAAGTTCAATAGGATTTTATATTTATTTTGTTGGTGTCTTGACATTTAGGTTAAAAGGTTCTGCGTTTTCATATTCTCTGTTAACTTTAGGATTTAACTGTCGGAAAGGGTATACAGCTAAAAAGATTAGAAACAGGAAGCAGTTATAATTGTTATAATTCTATAAATTTTAGCAGGAAAGTTTTCCGTGGGGTTAAAAATTGTTAAGTAATGACATCAATCAAAATAATAAATAGTAATCCAAAATCCAAGTCGAAATGTTTTACGAATCGTGAAAAACCGGTGGCTTATTCCAAATATATATTCGTATTATATTTCTTTCATCTACCAGATGAAAATCTGAGAATAGCTGATTGGATTTAAATTTTTGGGAAAATAAAGTAAACAAGATTTTTCCTTCAAACGGCTGTAAATATTATTTACTCTGATATTTTCGTAGACCTATTACGAGAAATTTTATGTTTGACCTTTAAAATATAAAACAATCAATAATATCTATACAATTATAGAGGAAGAGGCTTAAACTATATGTTTCGCCATGTAAGTGGCCATCTTAATCGTCTACAAGTTTTCGTTTTAGAATATAGAGCCTCAGTAAAGTATTTAAATTATGCATAATTTAATTTCATACAAGGTATTTACGCTGTGCCCTCTTTTTTATTGGATAAGAATATTAATTATGAGCCGTTCCAGTAAGATAGCTAATTTAAATCACACAAATACGTATTTTTTAAGTTTCTTCTGTAGTTTATATCCGAACCAATTCGAACATTCGAACTGATCCATATATCACCACAAGGTGAAATCTCTGTCTCGCTCTGTTGTGGTGTTGTGGAATTTTTGTTGATTGAACAGTTTAGTTATTTTCTTATTTTTAAGAATTTACATTTAATATAATTTTACACGAATAAATATTATAAGAAATATATGTAAGAAATATAGAAATAAATGAACAATACCTTTGGTTGTATAAACCAAAAGTAGTCAGGGTTGCCAGTTGAAAATTTTTGTCCTCCCTAAATTGAACATTAAAATATCCCTAGAAATCCCTAGATTGGAATAAATGTATATATGGTTGCCTAATTCTGAATAAAATGATGGGATGTATTGATGGTTGCCTAATATAATAACATGGATATAAAAAAGGTTGAGTTTACCGAAAGTACAAGCTGGTTATAGCCGCAAATGTTAAACATGGAACAAAAATATAAAGCTTTAGAAAAGTACATTTTGTTTATATTATGTTGTGCATTCTGCAATTTTTGGTTTATATAAAACAACAATGAGTAAATATTTGTTTCTTTGGAGATTAATTGCAGTTAATTATTATAATTTTTTACCCTTTGGTAGATTAGGGGATAGATTTGGCAATCATCAAATCAGCAGTTGCCAGATTACAACAGATGTTTTCAATTAATCTCGAAAGAGACAAATATCTACACGTTACTGCTTATCGTGCTTAACGGTATAATCAAAATGTACTTTTTAAAAGCTTTATCTCTTTATATTTGAAACATACAATATATTATGCATTATAAAAACATAAAAACACTACCAAGCCGAAATATTTTTGACATTTGCGGCTATATTCAGCTTGTACTTTCGATAAACTCAATCTAAAAAAATAATTGTTGTTTTATACCTTTATTTCAAAATCATTACATTTTTAAACGATACAATAGCGGTGATTTAAATAAATTTAACAAAAATGGAATAACGTACTTATTTATGGCTTTGAATATTCCATTTAATATATTATTAAGTATAATTCACGTAATAAAATTAATACAAAATACCACTTGAAGAGAAATTAGACGGTGAAGCATAGAATTTTATTGATATATTTCCACGAATCCTGGGATTCACCCGATTCCTACTGTAAATCCCCTAATTATTTTATAAAATCTAAGATTTTTGTAAAACCCCTAATTCTTGCTCCAGAATTTGCTTCTCCTTTATGATAATATATAGGAATCTATTTTTGGCAGAAATCTATTTGGTAGCATAAAATAAAAATTCCAAGAACGAGGACATTTAGCGACATCTGATAATAGAATCCTAAAGTAGTTTACTAGTAGTTTAATTATTTGTAATGAAATGAGAGATCGCTTCTTTAATACCGGTCATACGAAGTGGTTTTACACCTGAATTAAAGAAAATATTATTATAATAGGCCTATGTAGGTAAATATTTGAGCTGGTCAAAAATCCCTAGATTTTATAATAAATATCAAAAAAATCCCTTTGTCCCTTTTATACTGAAATATCCCTAGATTCGGGATAAATCCCTAGACCTGGCAGCCTTGAAAGTAGTAGAACTATTGCGAAATCAGAGAAAATGACAACTCAAAAGTTGGTGGTTGTTAACCTACATTAAAGAGACCAATGTCAATGTGTCAACCACAGTGTCAACTGTCAACCATTATTTCTAATCAGAGATAATTAATAATATAAATAAACATTAATATTTATTCAAAATGATTTCAATTTTAAATAACATGTCTTGTCCTGGTTTATATTGTGGAAGAACACAATTATCAAATTATGAGTTAAGCGAATGTGGCCCATGTCCTAGAGGATTTAGAAGAAATGAAACTACATATATTTGTGAATTGTGCACAGATGAACCTTTTTTTTATGATTGGCTATATCTAGGATTTGTTGTTTTATTAATGCTTGTTTTGCATTGTTTTTTTATTGATATGATTTCAATGAGACGAAGGTAATGCAATGGCTTGTCAACAATTTAAAATAATACAGATTATTTTTAGTTTCAACAAAGACATTCTTATTTTGCATTCAGTTGCTTGTATTGAAGTCACTGTAGCAGCTGTTATTTCCTTAATATTGTCGCATCCAATTGGTAAATTAACAATACATAGTTGTAAAGTCAGGAGTATTGCAGACTGGTATACTCTTCTTCATAATCCCATTCCAAACTATGAGAAGAAAGTATATTGCACACAGGAAGCTGTTTATCCATTGTAAGTTTTTCGTCAAGTTTAACATTTCCAGGTCAAGTAAATAAAATACAGCTTATTCAATAACTAGGCAAATGTATAATAGTTACATGATAAATTCCTTGGCACTACCTACTTTTCTTGAAATTCTTAAAATAACAGCACTTTTTTACAACAAAATTTTTAAATTTATTTAGTATACATTAAAAGGATATGGAATTCTGCTTTTATTTTATATTTAAAGAATTATAAGAATCCATAATCAAAAATTTTTCACCAATATGCCAAAGTGGTGTATGGGTAAATTTTGAATTAATAGAGTCTGAAGGAGTTATTCAAGACTTTGCACAGAATATTATCATACAAAGGTGCAAAGTCAGCAAAAGCTCGACTTCGACTCAGTAATCATATGCTTCACTGGGTCAGACAGCGGTGTTATTTTTTAACACAGTCTCTCTTTAAACGTAATTTTTTTCTTTTAAACAATTGTTGCAAACTGATATTGACTTGTGTAATGCAACTAAACTAGGTCGAGTTATCATTCTTTGTTTAATTTGAAATGTGTATGTTAGCTATGTTGAATTGTTTGTTCTTATTCAATTTGGAATATATAATAATTATTTAAATAATTATTACTCTTCTCTATGCTACTACCCCTTATTTTTTCTTTATTTTCTTGCTATGTTTACATTACAAGCTTTATTTTCAATTTCATGTTCACTGAATTTGCTTGCTCTGACCATTTGAGATTACAATCAATGAACACACCCAAAAACTTTGTAGAGTGTGTGAAAGATAACATATTGTTTCTATCATGGATGGTTAAGATATAGTCATAGGTAGATGAGTTGTGTGAATTTTTCCAGCTACAGGAACTGAGTTTCCTAGTGGATTGTATGAATGAAAATAAATTATTTCCGTCTTGTCAATGTTTAATATTAGTCTGTTGGTATTACACCAGCATATAAAGCAGTCAACAATAGTCTTCATTGTCATTTTTAATTCCTCGAGTATATGTGCAGAGACTATTAACGAGGTATCATCAGCAAACATTGATATTATATTAGATTTGTTAATAAAAATTAGGAATAATAATGGCCCCAGCACAGATCCCTGTGATACTCCTTTATTTGTTGTGTATGGTTCTGAGCTTGATTCTTTCATTTTAAAAACACTCTTCCTGTCACTTAAGTAATTTATTACCCATTCTAGAAATATCCCTCTAAAACCAATGTTATATAATTTATTGCGAATAAATGTTATGTCTAAGCAGCCAAAAGCTTGTGAAGATCAAAAAATATTCTAACTGTACATTACTCGAAACATAAAGTAAACTTTTTTGTCGAAGTGCCATATGACATTTTTCAAAAAAAGATATGTGATAGGCAATGTGTTAAACTAGGTAACAATATAAAATATTTCAAAATACCTATATCTTCCATAAACAGCTTTCTTTTCTAATAAATGTCGGCATATTATGTACCTACTAGAATGCATGAATGCCTGCCGTTTTTGCTAAAAGTCTGACATTTTAGGAGAAATCATGGGCATTCATATCTTCTGGTGCGTAATAGACCGTCCATAACAAACAATATGCAGAATATTCCAGTACCAATTTTCTTGTTAACCAATTGCCTAATGTGTTCATATTTATAAGAATTTTATTTCAGATATACTACAGTGTTCTTGTTTTATGGATTGTGTCTGATATTCATGATACTATTTAGACCTTGGCTGTGTAAAAAATACTTACCCAGACAAAGTAAAATGTCCATTTATGCTGCATTATATTTTATACCCATTCTTGTACTGATGCATGCTTTGATTGGAGGCCTTTTGTGTAAGTACCCCAAGAATGTTTTTTGTTAATTGTACTAAAAGCTTATTATTAAGTCAGTTATTTACTTAGATAAATAAATGAGAGAAATCTAAAATTAATTAAACTAAATGGCACATGCTGATGAATTGCAGATAGCCTAGAGGAATTACTCTGCCTAATTTGAAGGTAAAAATAATTTGTAATAGTTATTTATCTTCACATGACATGGCGCTTGATACATATAGACCATCGAGCAAAAAGACAAAAGAGGGAATCTAATCGTTATGAAAAGGAGACCAAAAAAGTGGCCTTTGATGGAGGACATATCTGGAAATGCGAATGTGCCAAATTTAAATTTTCTGACACTTATTAACAGTAGCTATAAAATAGTTTTCAGAATGTGTCTTAGACGAGAAAGTTTTAATTAAACATTAACGATAACAGACTTCAGTTTTACTAATTCCTCCACTAATAGCTTCTTGTAAAGCATGTTGTGAGGCATGGGTACATAACCAAGAAGATCTTGTAAGTCCTTTTTCTTTTCTTCTGTAAATTTGAGAGCACCCTGGTATTTGAGAGGAAGTTCTATGCTATCTAAGTTAAAATTGATTACATCGTGAAGTTTCTTTCGTCTCTTTTGGAGTATGACATTTGTAGGAATATCTGTTATATGTGATTTGAATTTTAAAGCCCAACTTAAAATCTTTTGAAAATTCGAATATTCTACCATCCTTGAAGTTAGCTTTCAACATTTGAGATTTAGTTGCTGCTTTTTGAAGAATACTGAAATTCTTAACAATGTCCCTCGTGACATTAACAACTTGGAATTTGTTCTTTTTTTAGTGTGTGTAATGAAATGGATATAGTGTTCTTTAGAAAATACCTCACAGTCCTTGATTTTAAATATAATTGAACCAGAATCTCGATCACATCCCATCATCGAATGCTCTCACATTAAAAAAACGTGCTTAATAAGATCAAAGCGATTTGCATGAATATGGCGAAGGCTAGAAAAAAAAAGCGTTTGTGTTCTTATTTTGCCTCGCACAGTTATCACTAAAAATTATAACTTTTCTCACATGCTTATTAACAAAGGTCTCCAAGTAGTGACTAAGAAAACCGGCTATTTCGCACGATCCGCGTTAGTGATGGTTTCATCCCATATACATTATGACTGCTCCTGTTTTAACGTTGTGGATTCTTAAGTTGTAAGTCCACATTTTTCTTTTGTAGTATTGTATGTTGCAGGTAGGTATAGGCGTGGGTAATGCCTGTTGTAAATCAATACATACAACATCAGTATTTTCATCCTGGTTGCTTTCGTAGCTTTTCGTCATATTCTGAGCAGCTTTCTACTTTGCTAAATTAACCTACAGTTCTGTGTCCAATTCATTTATTTTGGGAGAATTCTGCTTGCTAGTCTTTAATTCATCAAGTTCAACTTTTTTCTTAGAGCAGGTATTAGAAATTCCATATAAGCTCCATATACTCCAGTAATTGACGAACTCGGTGGCATATATTTTCCAAAAGGACCACTTTTGAGAGGTATTAGTTTTGATTATCGTAGTTGCCGATTTGCCAAAAGTTATTGAAAATTATATTGATATTGTTCATGCCCAACTTTTCAAAACACATTTTACGACACTTACATGACAGTCTGATTTTGCGCGCAGATACAGTTTTCTTTGTATTTCTTGAAACGTACGCTTCACCACAGTGTCGTTTGGTTTTACACACGTTAACAAGCCATTGTTCCGTTTTCTCGGCGTTTGTTTTGAAAATAAATCAGAAAAAAAAACAACTTTAAGGCTAATGTAACGTCGGTTTTTCTTGAAATACGAGTAATTAAAACTACAACAATCACATTTTGGTACCCAAAAACTCAAGAACAACGCATATATCTGAGACTATCTCTCATCAACTACAGAAACACCGACGCGTTGATACAGTTACAGAGGAGAAAGGGCGAACCTTGAACGAACACGCAACGAAAGCCTGAGGTTGCGCCCTTGCTCTTCTAGACGATTATGTAACTCAGTTTCTGACTTGAATGGATTGCTATATTATTTCTTACAGAATTTTAGCAATATGAAGGGCGAAACATGCTTTTACACAAGCATTCTTTAAAGGTTTATGAGAAAGATCAGACTGTTTTTGAAACGTCCACTTTGCGAGTTCGCACTTACTCTTCCAAGCTCCTGAAATACTCAATTGTGTGATAATTCTAACTCCAACACCAAACCATAAAGATTTGATGGATAAATTAGATCATTCTCTCTTTTTCTCTTGCTGTCACCCACAATGTAGGTTTTAAAACTGTTTGTCCTTTGTGTAGTGTTGTTTTATGTAAATGTATTGTTTAATGTTTATAACATTCATCGAAGTGCTGGATAGCCTACATTTTCGACGAAAATGTCCCTTAAGATGCTCTGAGAGCGAAAGTACTTAAGCAATATTTAATAAAAAACTAGAGCAAGATTTAATAAAGAAAAATAAGAACAGGAATCTCCATATAGAAATATGGAAAACTACAAAGGTGTTTATCAACACCATTTGACGAGACGTATCGGGCCTATCCTCCGTATATGTCAAATAAACATAGAAGGAATTACTAGATCAAAATCCGAATTTCTTTCAAAACTACTAATCGAAAATAACGTTGACGTCATAACCATTCAAGAAACTCACGCACCATCGGAAACCGAGCTTCTTAAGAGGGGTAAAATTCCGGGATATAGCATGATTGGAGCCACTTACAGCAATATTTATGGCACTGCAACTTACGTGCATAACAGTATACAAAATGCTAAGATGACGGACTGCAGCTGCGAAAATAATGTGTCCATAGTCTCTAAGAAGTGAATGGCGTAATCATAAAAAACATCTACAAACCACCATTAACTAAATGGCCAGTAGATGTAATAAAAGCCGTTGACAACCAACCTGCAGTTTACATTGGGGACTTTAACAGTCACCACAACAAATGGGGATATGAAAACAATGATGAAAATGGGGAGAAACTACTGGAGTGGGCTGAAGAAAGTAATATTCACCTTATCCATAGTCTAAAAGATAAAACTACCTTCTTTTCTAGAAGATGGCGCAAAGGCTACAACCCTGATCTATGCTGGGTTTCCACTAACTCACGGATGCAACCACTCCCAAGCTCTCGAACTGTACTTCCCAGTTTCCCTCACAGCCAACATCGACCTGTCATAATCGAACTAGGCATACAAATTTCTATCGTTGAATCCACACCGAGACCCCGTTGGAATTTTAACAAAGGAAATTGGCCCGAATTCACCAAAGACCTGGACACCTGCATTCGCTTCATTGACCCAAAGGCCAACAACTATCACCGTTTTGTAGGAATGGTTATCTCTATCGCCAAAAAACATATCCCCCGAGGTTTCCGAAAGGAGTACATCCCAGGCTGGACGGAAGAAAGCCAAAAACTATATGACGAATTTTTGAAATAAGAAGATCCCGAAATTGGTGACAACTTACTGAAGTCACTGGACTCAACAAGACTTAATAAATGGAAGTCTACCGTAGAACATATTGATTTCTCACGTTCCAGTCGAAAAGCATGGGGACTGATCCGCAAACTGGGCGAAGCAAGCAGAGCGCAACACTTAAACAGATCAACAATTGAGCCAAATAAAATAGCCAATAGAATAATTGAGAACTCCCGAGCTCCATCTGAGAAAACTCATACATCTACCGTAAAAAGAGCTCTTAAACAACTTAAAGCGAATACTCCCGCAACATCAGAATACTCACGTGCCTTCTCATTGGATGAAATAAACGAAGCGCTTAACCAAACTAAAACAGGAAAAGCAGCAGGCTTCGATGGAATGTATCCTGAGTTTATAGTCCACACTGGTACAAAAACCGACAGTGGCTCAAAAAATTCTTTAGCGACATTGTGAATACAACTGTGCTACCCCCAGAATTCAAAAGAACAAAAATTATCGCAATCCAGAAGCCTGGAAAAGACAACAAGCTGCCTGAAAGTTACCGGTTTATTGCCTTACTCAGTTGCTGTTATAAATTACTAGAACGACTTTTATATAACCGAATATGTAACACCATTGAGGATGCTGTACCAATTGAACAAGCTGGATTTAGAAGAGGACGAAGTTGCTGTGACCAAGTGCTGTCCTTAACTACATTTATTGAAGCTGGCTTTGAAAGACGCGAAAAATCTGCCATAACATTTATAGATCTCACGGCTGCCTATGACACGGTGTGGAGAGAGGGCCTTATTTATAAGCTGATGAAAATCATACCTTGCCTCAAAACTTGCCAGCTGATAAACAATCTACTGACTAACAGACTGTTTCAGGTATATATGAATTATGCACAGAGTAACGTTAGAAAACTTAACAACGGCTTACCTCAAGGCTCAGTGCTAGCTCCTTTATTATTTAAGCTGTATACAGCAGATATACCTGAAACAAAATCGAGAAAATTTGCTTATGCTGACGACCTGGCCATTGGCTTCCAAGATAATAGTAAAGAAGCAGGAGAACGAGCTCTAAACGAAGACTTATCTACACTAAGTTACTATTTTAAGAACTGGCGCTTACGTCCTAACACAAGCAAAACTGAAACCTGTCTCTTTCACCTGTCGAATCAACTTGCGGGCGATACTCTCAATGTAACTCTAAATGACACAGCTATCAAACATAACAACAACCCCAAATATCTAGGCGTCACACTTGATAGAACACTCACCTTCAAAAGTCATCTTACAAACGCAGCCGGTAAACTAAGAACACGAAATAACTTAATATCAAAACTTGCTGGAACAACTTGGGGTGCTTCTGCAGATACTCTTCGGACCTCTGCTCTAGCTTTGGTTTTTTCAGTGGCAGAATATTGTGCGCCAGTATGGCTAAATAGTGCACATACAAGCAAAATCGATGTCCAACTTAACCAAACCATGAGAATAATCACTGGAACAGTAAAATCAACGCCAGTGAGATGGCTGCCTACTCTGAGCAATATTGCTCCACCAGATCTACGCCGTACAGCAGCATTAGTGAGAGAGTACCAGAAAATTGTAGCCAACGTACAATTACCAATACATCAAGATATCCCAGACATCTCAAAAGAGCACCAACGATTGAGATCTAGAAATCCTCCAATACGATCTGCCCGAAAAATTGGTAATTCCTATGATATACATAGGCAATGGACAACAAGATGGATGCCAACAGTAGAATCGGACTATATTAAGATATCCACCCCAACTCAGGGTTTCATCGGATCAAATCTGCCCCGGTCCATTTGGGCAAGGCTTAATCGTATACGTATCGGACATGGTAAATGTGCTGATTCGCTGTTCAGGTGGGGTCGTGCAGAAAGTCCACAGTGCGATTGCGGAGAATCTAGACAGACCATAAGCCATTGTGTTTCAGACTGCTTGAATCGTGCCTACCGTGGAAACCTCCAGGACTTTGCGGAATGTTCCCCAGAAGCAATTGAATGGCTATGTAAATTGGATATTAATATTTAGTGTCATTCATTCTATTCATTCTATTTTTACTATTTTTAGTGTTTGAATAATATATATAATATATATGTGTATATTATTGTAATTGTATTTGTATATTTATCGTACTGTGAAAGTCCATACGCTAAATAAAATAAAAAACTGTGCTCAATATCTGCCGTTTATTTGATTAAAGTATATATATTCGAGCATTTAACCATATATCACATAACTAATACTTTTTAGATTTTTTAACATTAATTCAGTAAACATTTTGACATCATTTCGACAATTATATCAAATTTAGCAAGAATCACCTCATATTGGTTTTGTTTTTAGATTATTGCTTTCCACATCTAGTTCTAGTACTGTCAGTAATATCTTGTGCAGCCCATTTTGCCGTCAAGTTGGATCAAAGTATAAAATCGTTGATAGTGTCAACACTAGTGGAACCACGTAACCTAGTTATACTTATTGGACATTGGTGTTTACACGCATATGGACTAATATCAATAACGCAAATGTTAAATCCATCTCTACACGCATCGTTAATTTTGTTAATACCTTTACCAGCGCTCTTTTATATTTTAACGGCAAGGTTTACGGATCCTAGTAAATTTCAATTTTAGAGTACTACTATGAATACTTGTATATACTATTAAGCGTGTCTGTGATAATTATCTTAAAAAGCCGAAATATGTTATATTAGAATTTGTTTTGAAAGAGGTATTAATAAACTGTATCTTTTTAAAAAAGTATTAATGATTACTTGGCCTTTAATTTTTTTTACCTTATCTTTTGTATAAGAAAGAATTGGGATCCTTCAGGGTTCAAGGAAATAAGGTAGGTTTACCACACTTGTGTGGTACCAAAGAAAAGAGGAGTAATAAGACAGCTGATAAAAAGTTTATATTGAAGGTAAGACTCTTGTCTGGGAACACATACAGTTATTTCCAAGAAATGTCAGCCACTAGGGGAGGCAAGAATCTGGAAAAGAGCATCATCATTACTGAGGTGGGATATTTAATTATATTATTACGCGTCTCTTTTCATATTTTTCCTCTGAACATCTTCGGACAAATTGCGTATTGTCATCCATCCACGCCGCATTTGAAATGCGGCGTTATCGCTGAAGCAAGCCTGTGAATGTGAATAACAATTATAAAGTGCGAAAATAAAATGATTTGTAATACTTCACCTTACGCCAATCATCAATATACCAGTCTTTATAGATCTTTGCCCAAGTTAAGCGTTTTTTGAGCATTTGTGGTGTTAGTTTTGGCTTCTTAACAGGCTTGCGAGGCTTCTTTGAAGTCCATGCCAGGCAAGTTTAGGCGTATTGTGGCCACCGATACCGAGCATACTGCTTTTTTCAACTTATTTCTTAAATCTGTACGGGTGGCCCTTCTGTGTGTTACAGCTAAATAATTTAAAATTCATTGCGCCCTGGGGGCGACTGAAGGTTTTTTTGCCACACCGGCCTTTCCGAACTGACGTCACAGGTCGCTTCTCTTTGGAGTTTTTGACTCAATCATCTCACTGACGATTGGGATACATTTTAGTGCTATCTCTCTCTTTGACTAAGTGCTGTATTCTCTAATACAGTAGTTAAGGACGAGATTTTCTCAACATAAAGATCTTTAGATTTATCCATCTAAAAATTCCAATTCAAGAATCCAATCGTCTTGTTTTATGATTAAGAAATAACCAAAATCAAAAGTTACACTATTATATAATAATGTCAATACTTACTAGTGTAAATTTTAAATAAACTGACCACAAATCTATGTTTTAAGTAAAAAAACTCAAAATGTAAAACAATTAGTTACTCTATACTTTAAGCACATTCTACTATCATCTGTAAATTTTTGACAATTCTAAGAAAAATTTATACCATTTTCTACATAACCACAGAATATTTGTTTATTATTCTGTGACGTAACTATGTACCCAATAGTTATGCAACCAATTCAACACCTTAGTATCTAAGTGAACATACGTTCAATGCGTTTGAAATTTATTTCTGTTTTTTTTAACCAGCTTGTCTCGATATTTACTGGAAGATGATGCAACTAATACTAGGTACAATAACAAAAATAAATAATTCAGTTTAAATTAGATTTAAAAAAATAAACGAGGTTTGAACTAAAATGATGTATATTATAAAATATCAAATATATAAGAGCTTAAACTATATCACTATTGTGGCAACAATTGCCCCTATCATTAGAAATATATAAAGAACTAAAGCCGCCCACCAGATGTACTTTTCTAATGTCGTTTGGTGTATATTTCTTAAAACATATATTCCAACTAGAAGTCCAGCTAGAGCCCCGCCCAAATGACAGGTAACACCAATTCCATTTAATTCCTGTAAGTAGTACCGTTGGTAAGACGCTGTGCCCAAATCGATTGATATTATTAGTCCAAAAACCACAAGCTGCACTGATGCAAATCGTAAACTGTCCCAATTCTAAAACATTGCAAAACATATACACATTAGCCGATTTATAAATAAGGCGTTCTCTATTAACGATTTCCGAAAGTGGAAATTAAAACGTCAATAAACGTATTTTTACCATTAATTGTGGTTTATTTCCATTTAACTAGTAATTATTTTAAAATGCCACAATAAAATAGCTTCAGAACAATAAATTTACCATTATCACTTGAGCCAAATGTGCTGTCATAAGAGCATATACACCTCCACTGGCACCGCCCAAACGAATTTCCCCGTCTATTATAGAATGTGCAAGGCTTCCGGCGATTCCTCCCAAAAAATATATGAGCAAAACCCTCCACCATTTGTTAACCATTTCTAATGGTATTCCGAGTGCCAATTGTACAACGAGATTCGTTATTATATGATTATATCTGAAAAGAAAAAAACCATTTCAATATCAAATTATTTAATTGTAGGTAGTTCATTTTAGTCAACATAGTTAACATAACCATGTGTGTAGTGTGCTCATATGATTTAAACGCTAAATATCATCTAAAGACCCGTTAAAACTGAAGAAACGTTACAAATTTTATAAACAGTTCACTTTGGGTACAAAAAATATTTTGGAGTAAAATAGGTGACGAGAATGAGAAAGAAATAACCCGACATCCGACAGGTGAAATTTTGTAACGCTGCTCAACATGTAGGGTGTGACAAACTCCAAATATACTCATTCCTATATCTCGTAGATTTTCATAATAATATGTCATACTATAGCTTCATATTTTTTTTTGAGAAAAAAAATGTATATTATGACCGGAGAATCAATACATTTCTATCGGAATTAATAGTATGAAAACAAGAAACTACAATATAAGGAGTATCTAGCTTATCAAACAAACAAACAGAATCAAATTCTACAGATTAATTATTGAGTTTTCAGTTCTTAAAGTTGGAGCAATTTTCACAGTATGTCACACAGTGTTCTAAACACAAAAACTTACATGCCTCACACACGTATCTAGTTTTCATGTCTCTATTTCTGAGACATTTTGAACATCGTCCCTGGTGATTAGGTTTCCTCTTCTTTGGAATTTTCACCTAAAATCTTTCGGATACTGCTTCTCAATTCTCTAGATAATCTAGGGTTACTCATTCTTTCTTTTTGATGTTCCCGATCAATTGAAAACCCAGGTACTTCAGAAAAGCCTTCTAGCAAGGCTTCTTAGGACTATCGTTGTTTTGTCTGTGAATGATCTGGCTATATCGACTGTTGCGTGCTAAATTATACGTTGCAGATAGCTGGTCTACTACGTCAACTCCGCCTATAAGAGAGTAACTGTTGATGCTCTTTATTTGGTGTGACCATCGACCTTCTTCGAGATCTTTTACCTTCTTCTTTGCTTTCAACTATTAACTTCTCCATACCTTTCCTTCGTCGAGCTATGTGTCCAAAGTACCTCAATATATTTTGGTTGATTTTTGTGGTAAGGCTATTAGTGATGTCGAGATCCGCTCATATTGAGATATTTGTCCGATATGCTGTTCGGGGTATGCTCATCATTCTATGACGACCTATATTTCAAAGGCGATCGTACGTTGTGAGTCAGACTTGTTGGTGGTGCAAGTTTCTGCAGCGTGCGTAGGTAGTGATAGGAAAGATAAGGGCCCGTACCAAGCGTACTTTAGTTACGGTCGTATTTTTCTACATTTTAGTAAGATTGACCGTTACTAATCTAGCCATTGTAAGGATTTGACGTACTTATTCTTTTTCTATTTTTTTTAAATTATGAAAAAATTTTTTTCTACAATTACCTAAAAGGGAATCGACAAAATATCTAGCAAAAGAAACACAAAGTAGAATATCGAGAGCAAAGAGGCATGGTCCAAAACAAAGAGAACAGTAACAAATAAATAAAAAATAAAAATGCTAATAATCTATTAGAAGTAAATACATCCTCTTCTCATTTGGTTCTGGTGTTCCGGAACGGTGTTCTTATAGGTGTTCAAATAGGTACAAAATAGTTCAGTATACGTACCCAATATGTACAAACATGTACGTCACGAATCTCCATATTTCTTTTTTCTTGTCTGGATCGTAGAGAAGATATCGACCGGTAACGCCGGTTGCAGTTAGTGAAGATCCTTCCTGTGTTAGTTCATCTGTTATGAATAAAGCAAATTCGAGTATAGAAATAAGTAACATAAAAACAGGCGGAGGAAAGCATGAGTATTCATCGCAAAGGTCGGCTCCTTCTTGATCGCCACTTCTTTTTAAGTAATATGGTGTGTCGCCACTTCGAGCTGAACGGAGGCTTATTTCCTGTTTGGGATGTGGTATTAGGTGATGGACATATCTAAAATATTGAATTTAAAATAAATTAGTTGTTAAATACTGAATTGTATGTTTTAAATTGTAGCAAATCTTTCTATAAAATAGATTGGCTTTTTAATCTGACAACTTTTAATATTTTTTGCTAAAACCAGTCTTTTTTATTCATACATATCAAATGGGACCTTGGCCTTTTGAAATCTTCAGTTCCAACTAGCTCCAATCTCCTGAGATAATCTTTTAAGTTGTGTTTACATTTCAACCTCGAAATAAGAGGCAAACTACACCGGGTTGTTTATTAGAAGATTATCTTCTCAAATAAAGCAGTTTTCATATTTGAAAGTTGTTGGCAAGTGCATTCCTTATACAGATCGTTGCTGAGATACTCAGTTGGTGAAATAACGATATTTTTACTAAGAGGTTTTGTAGTTGGTTTTAACTGACTTCTATTTTTCTAATTTTGTTATTCGGTTATTTCATGGACGTATAAACACAGATGGACTCAGTTATTTACATAAAATTGTGAAGTCAAAATTATTTGAATAGGTCACATTCTCAGCACCTTCAACTGTTGTCACGTTTTGTTTTAAAATTTCTTATTCGCGAGTCGCTGAAAATATTACTCCGTATTTTATACTCTACAGGTGCTATCAAACCAAAATAATAATTTATTGGTTATATTAATATATTTAATTGTAATCAAAATATCAAGTGTGCACATAGTGTGCATTATCATTTAATAATAGCGTATAATAGATATCAATCAATTATTTTATATGTAGAAACACTGAAAACTATTTATAAATGGCAATGGTTGTTTACATTTGACTGTCTTATGGATCTACGTCAAACTTCAAATGTTGTTTCATGTTTGTTTACTTTTTACAGTAAATGAGGAAAAAGTTATTTTTCGGTATTTTGGCTGTATTTTGAGTGATATTTGTGAAAAGTGAAATAAAATAAACGAAATATTTACATCCCGATCTCTCATTTCATTTGTAAGTACATACAATTTACATTATTTAAGATGAGGAAATGAGGAAGCGTGTTGTTTACATTTTAATAGGCGTATCATTGGGTTTATTCATGTTCATTAATGTATTGAATAAGATATGAGTTCATGAAATTAGTAGACATTTATAAATTGTAAGTAGACATCATCTGATTAAAAAAGATCTGTTTAGTACGTTTTTAATTTAATATTTCTCATGGATACAAATAAATTAGTGAAATGAATAAAACTGATTTATTTTTCTATGTAGGTTTCCAAATAATATTGACGATCGAACTATTTGGGTAGCAAATTAAGGAGAAAACATAAAGATTTTTTATTGTAGCATTATTTTGATACTATTAAAAAATTAACTTGAATTCAACTATATTTAATTGTAATAATTTTAAAGCAAATAAAATTGTATTTTAATTTTTCTATAAAGACGTGATTTGTTAATAGTTAAACTCTCGTTTTTTTTTTAATTCTTTGAACGTGTTTTTATACCTTATTACTACTTCCAATTTTTAAAATCTGAATAATTACCCGCGAGTAAAAATTCAAGCACGCTTATGCTCATTGCGGAAGCATCACATTCTATCGAAGCTTCAAAACATTGTGTGTTAAAGGTATCTTATTGCTGTGTCAATCTATGTTTATACGTCCATGGATTATTTATTTACTTGGAATTTGCTCTATTGTCGATTTTCCTTGACGACAATATTTTCAATCCAAGATTAAAACTGGTTATTGAAGATGCACGTAAAAATTTTTGTACACTTAGTACAAGAAGGTTATGCCGAGATACTTTTTAGAGTTCAACTTGTCCCTTTTTCTATGTAGGGTAGATGGGCCCAGTGACGTAGCCAGGATTTGACAAAGGAGTACTTTGTCTTTAATGAAGAAACCAACACAGAATAATGATGACAATATAATAGTTCCGATAAAGTATTTTTTATAAATAAATGTGTGTTTTTCTATCCTATTTTGCAACACCCTGTGGAATTTATTAGAAAGAAACGCTACATCTTATTAATATTTTGAAATATTTTCAATCTTTCTCAAGATTTTCGTAAAAAAAATATCTCAATATCTCTATTATCGAGTATTATACAATTTTAACTTTAAATGTAACAAGTTTTTGTTAACATTTAAAGCAAAGAAAACATTACTTACATTAACTTTAACTAAGAAAACATAACCTAAAAATCTAAAACAATTCACTCTCCTAAAAACACCTAATAACGAATGTTTCCACCTCTATATCTAATTACTTCTTCACAGCGACGAGGCATATTTGGTCTTGATGAATTGCATCCCAAACTTCTCTCACCATAATTTCTATATCATCAAGAGAGACAGGTGGTGGTTGTCGGCTAATGAGTTGGCGATCAATAATATCCCATAAATTCTCTCTGCGATTTAGATCAGGGCTGTAGGATGGCCAGCTCATGGTTTGTATTCCATCCTCGTCCAAATAATATCGGACCACACATGCAACATGTGGTCGAGCGATATCATGCATTAAAAGAAAATTATTTCCTACGTAAGGAGCAAATGGAACTACATGGCTAGACAAAATGTCTGTAATTTACCCATTACTTGTTAAGGAACCTCTTCGTAAAACAACAAAAAATCTGTTCGTGCTGTAAGAGATGTAAAATGCAAAAATATACAGTTTCTGGGAGCTACACACTGTATGATAAGATAATTCCACTTCTGACACAGCGCTAATAATTTGGTATGATTTTTTTATACTTACGTAGTGATACATTTATGTACTAAAGATTGAAAATCTTGACTTTCAACAAGATTTACAAATTCTTGAAAACTGAGCTTCTGATCTTTATCTTTATCAGCGTTCTGGTAAATTTTTTTTATAACTCGACGGGGAATAAAGTTACAGGATGTTTCATGAGTGGAGATAAATACTGCCAATTCGTCCACAGTAATATATCCATTTTTGTCAGTGTCACACTAAAACAAAGCAATTTAATATTATAGAACAATTTTTTATGAACCATTTATAGTACCTAAATTTTTTTAAATATTTGATTGAATCCACTGTTCTTAGTAAATAAAAAAATAAAGTAAAGTAAAAAAATCAAACCAATTGGAATTCTGGGTTATGCCCACAGAATCCTCGGAAAAAAGGTTATCCCAAAACTTTTACCTCTCATCACCGGGCAGGCAAGTGATCGAATACCAGAAAAACTACGACATTTTCATAAAGATATTATGAATGTTTTAAGAAGCAATTATACAAGCAAAAAACTGTTCCAGTGGTAATTTACACTGTATACATTTTTATAGACCTAAGTCTGTCTACTTTGCTTGTTTCCTTCATTTTCGAAGTATTGTTGATAAGTTGGGTTCGCGTTTTGAGCTTTTTGTACATGATGTGGTTCTCATTGTAAGAAATGGAAAAGAACTGGTAAGCATAGCAAAAAGACTGATTCGGAAAAGCTCTAAAATGAGACTGAAAGTTAATATTAGTAAATCCAAGTACATGGAAATCTCAAGCAAAAAAGGAGTAAACACCAGGGGCTCCTTTAAATTGGAGGAGGAGGATAAATCAGTTGTAGAATTAGAGAAGGTGGATGAATGTATGTACTTAGGTACTCTTATTGATCAGACATGTAAGGAAGAAACTGAAATCAACCTGAGACTGACCAAGAGCAACAGGTGTGCTGGAGCCATGAGAAAAATAATTAAGGCCAAAGATATCTCGTAATACAAAAATAAGAGTATACAAAACTATAATTAGACCTACAATGCTATACACTGCCGAGGATGGGAAAGAAAGATACTTCGCAGAATGTTTGGCGGAAAAGTAGTAGAGAAAAAATGGAGAAGACGCACTAAAGCAGAAGTATACCAATTGTATATTAAATATACAATACAAAAGTGTTGAAAAAACGTAAACTAGAATGGTTCGGACATCTAGAAAGCATGCAAGGTAATAGACTAGTCAAGAATATTGTTTGGAGAGTACCTGGGGGCAAAAAAGAGAGAAAGATCAAGAAAGAAATGGAGATGAAGATGTCAGAGAGATGGGAGAATCAGGGATTGGAAGCTGCTATCTAAGAACAGAAAACGATGGAATCTTTCCATCCAGAAATGGGCCTAAAAGGCCTGTTAACGCTATACATACACACATATAGACAAGTAAAATATATCAAAATTGCATTTATTATATTGTATAACAAGCGAGAGCTGACGGGTTGCGCGTAGAACAAATTGAAAAGTGGAAGGGATTGCTTATTTCTATTGCAGTCGGCTAGGAGTTCACATCGTGTAATTTAGTGCTAGATTTCTGACAGTGTTGTCAAATATTTACATTTTTATTTGGAGTGGCCTTATATTATAAACTATTATTTATATTTATTAAAATGGCAAGTGTATTAAAAGGCAAACCTTTGGGATCTCAAGCACGATAAATCATTTTTAATGTTTTAAAGTTTACAACCGAAGAAGCTAATGCAGATAAAGTTTTAGTTGATTTAAAAAAGATACAATAACGTGTAGCTCAATTAACTGGTAACTGTAATACTCATTTTCAACATAAATTCAGATTTAAATATTTTAATTAAAGTTTAAGAATTAATTACGTTTTATGAAAATAAATATTATTAACAAATTTTTTCTACGTTTTATTCAATATTATTATTATTTTTATTTTGTTTACGAGGTAAATAAGTTTGTCACACACACAATGACACAACCATCGAACATATCTATTAACGTAATTTTCAGATCCCAACTAAATTTTTTGTAAGGCAACTACGCATTTGTGACACCAGCGATTAAGTACCTCTCCTATCTCTATTAGAATAATTCCTTTTCTATTTTCGCGCAGTTCACCCGCCAGCTCTCACTTGTCGGATAATACATGTTTATAAGCTAAAAATGTATAAGAAACGTTGCATAGACAAAAAATTATTTTTTAACTTTTTATGATTGTAAAAGAAATAAAAGCAAAATTAGCTGTCTTTAACGATTTGTCATCAGCTATCTCTCATATACCTTTTAGACATTCAAAAACCTGTATAGGATTTTTACTTGAAATCGATGATTTTTTAAATAAATTCATTTTTAGCGTTATTATGTACTATGTGAAAAAAACCTGAAAAAGGTCGTTTTTTATTCTTATACTGACACTAAACAGCATAAAAATATTATCCCCTCCAGCACCCCCTTTGAATTATAAGCACCCCCTCGAAAATTTTAGATAACAAAGTGAATCGTATGACTCCTTGTCAAAAAGGCATTTTAGTCATCTGTTCAGCATTATAAAGTTTTTTTAAGTTTGGTGCAATTATAAATGAGAACAGTGATTTTTAAGATGTAAAATTTTGATAATGTCTCTATCACAAAACTTTAGGTTGAATGACGATAATAATGTCACATAACATTTAGAATGTATTTTTAAATGTACTTTACAATTAAATTATATATTATATGTTCAAAATGACCACCATTCACTTCTTGACAATAACCGAGGCAATTTTGGAATTCTCATACAACATTTTTATGACCTCCGGAGTTATTTTGTTAATTTCTTCAGTTATCCTAACTTTTAAATCAATATGGCCTGGTCTATTAAAATATACTTTACAAATAATCAGGTTTTTTATTATCTGTTCTGCTAAACATGATTGAAGTTAATGAAATATTAGCCGAAAAACCAAATAAACCGTTGATATGAATTTAGTAGGCTGCTGTCTGTAGTATTTAAAGTAACTAAAAGACGGCAGTATATTTGTGTGCTTAATAAATTTAATTGTGGCTCATTTGTCCGAGACTCAAAGAATAGACATTTTAATTATGATTGGTTGTGGTAATAAAACAAAAACTCAAAAGGAGGTTTGTGAAATGTTTAATAATAAATACCCTGGTCAACAAGTGTCGCAGTCTACAGTTAGCAAAATTAAAAAGAAGTTTCGTTATACTATACTGGACATGTAAAAAATATTTAAAAACCAGGTAGACATGTTAAATTTACTGATGAAAAAAGTTAGATGTACTTCTAGAGATCAAGGAAAATCCGCCATAAGGCAACTCGAGAACTTGCCGCAGTCAATGATGTAAGTAAATAATCTATTTTAAGAGTTTAGCATAAACAAAATACCACCTTTACAAAGTTCAGTTGGTTCAAAAGTGAAATGAAGATGATTCTGACAGAAGGCAAGAATTCTATTAAATGATGATAAACATTATGAACGCAGATTTGCGGTTCATAAACAAAATAGTTTTTTCTGATGAAGCGACGTTTCATTTAAACTGAACGGTTAACAAGTAGAACTGTAAATATTGGAGCAGAGAAAATTCTCACTGGGTATCATTAACAATAAAATTATTGGTCCTTTTTTTTCAGGGTACAGTTGATTGTGAGGTTTATCTAGATTTAGAAACTATTTGAACGAGGTTTTTCCCAATAGGTGGATTGGAAGAGCGAAAGGTGGTAGACCGATCGAATGGCCAGCTAGATCCCCGATTTGACTCCTCTCGATTACTTCTTATGGGGTTATTTAAAATCGGAAGTATATTTTAATAGACCAAACAGTATTGCTGATTTAAAAGTTAGGTTAACAGAAGAAATTAACAAAATAGCCCCCGAGGTCGTACAAAATGTTGAACGAGAATTGCAAAATCGCTTCGGTTATTGTCAAGAAGTAAATCACTTTTCTCAGTTATGATTGCACCAAACTTAAAAAACTTTATAATGCTGAACAGAGGACTAAAATGCCTTTCTAACAAGGTGTCACACGATCCACTTTGTTATTTAAAATTTTCGAGGGTGTGCTTATAATTCAAAGGGGGTGCTGGAGGGGATAATATTTTTATACTGTTAAGTGTCAATATAAGAATAAAAATCGATCTTTTTCAGGTCTTTTTCACATAGTACATAATAACGCTAAAAATGAATTTATTCCATACATATGGACCGCATGGTATATACGACTCGCAATTTCTGGCGGTGACATATTTAAAACAACTAACAACACACTGATAAAACTAGTACTATTAATATTAATAGATATTTCAAACATTTGTTTTACTATTCATTAATAAAAACTTACCTGCTCAAATATTGCCCAGTGTCGAGAGTCAGTATACCCAATATTTTCCATCGGTATATTTTCTGATTCATACCGTGCCATTTTTTAGTTTTCCGCTTACTTCGTTACTATTACAAAATAAACATTAGGCATCAACATATAAACATTTCTGTTACATTTTCGATAATGTTCAAGATAAGATTATATTTTATCAATAACCATTTATCCTAATATTAACGACTTTTATTACACCTTAAATGGTAAAATAGAACAGGTAAGGTGACTAAAGCTGTAAATAAATGTAATATTTAGATCCTAATCCTATGAACATCTCGGTGAGGTAATATTTAGTATATTTTTTTTTAAATTCCTTATTTATTTGCGGTCGATCATGATAGATCCCTTCCGCATAATAGATCAATAGAAACTTTATTAGTTCAATACCTATGTATCTTATATTTTCTTTTATTTTCAATAGGTACCAATATTATCTTCAAAACCAATAGCATGAAATTTCGATTTTAAATTTTGGCAACAAATACGAGGAAAATATTATGCACTATCAGGAAATTGGATACAGAACAAAAGAATTTCAGGCCACATCAGTAAAAATTAAATGTAAAAACTATGAGGTAATCGTCACAGCAGTTTACAGTCCGCCAAGACATGTCATCAAGAAAAATCAATATGTAGATTTCCTGACCAGTCAAGGACATAGATTTATCCTTGGAGGAGACTTCAATGCAAAACGTACGCATTGGTGGTCACGACTAACTACAACCAAAGGGAAAGAATTTTTAGAAGCAATGAAATACATAAAATGCGACGCAGTATCTACAGGAAAGCCAACATACTGGCCTACTGGCACAAATAAAATTCCAGACCTTATCGACTTCTTTGTAGTCAGAAATATTTCTACAAATTACATAGAGATAGAAGAGGCATTGGATATGAACTCGAACAATTCTCCAAATATTCTCGCACTCAGTGACATTGTTATCAAAAAAGAAAGCTCCCTAGACTTGTTAACAAAAATACCGACTGGAAAAGTTTTCAGATAGACCTTAAAGAGAAGATTAACCTCTCAGTTCCATTAAGAACCATTGATCAACTAGAAGCAGAAGTAGAATGAAAATATACAACAAGCTGTTTGGAACAACAGCACGAACAGTGTCGAAAGAAAAGGAAGTAACTACCCGAAAGAAATCAGAGAAATGATAACCGAAAAAAGAAAACTAAGACGCAAGTGGCATCAGTCTAGAGCACCAGTTGATAAAACTAGATTAAATAATGCCACACAAAAATTAAAAAGAGAAATTAAAAAAATTAAAAAACAAATCGGTTAACATCTACCTAAGTGAATTATCAAATGATAGCGCTACTGAATACTCTTTGTGGAAGGCTACTAAACGATTAAAAAGGCCAATCTTACAGAATCGACTAATTAGAAATACTAATGGTAGCTGGGCAAGAAGCAATATACAAAAGGCCAACAGGTTTGTTGACCACCTAGAAAATACTTTTCAACCAAATGAAGAACAAGAAATAATAAACTGGGAGCTCTCTGATCAAGATGAAATGGAGATTAGCCTTGTAACTCCAAAATAAGTATATTTGGAAATAAAAGAAAATATAAATCCAAAGAAAGCTCCTGGATTTGATCTAATTACTGGGGAAGTGTTAAAGCAACTTCCAAGGAAAGCTATTATAAAATTAACACATCTTATAAACGCTTCCTTTAGGCTGAGGTACGTACCAAAGATATTGAAGGTGTCAGAAATTATAATGACACTAAAACCAGGAAAACCTCCACAAGAAGCTTCTTCATATAGGCCTATTTCACTGTTACTTGTCATGTCTAAATTATACGAAAAATTACTCTTGAAGAGACCAAAACCGATTATAGAGGAAAATAATCTAATTCCTAATCATCAGTTTGGGTTTAGAGCAAGCCACTCAACGATAGATCAGGTGCATAGAATAACAAATATAGTAGAAAAAGCTCTAGAAGAAGGGAAAGTTTGTTCTGAAAATTTCCTCGATGTAGCGTAAGCTTTTGACAGGGTGTGGCATGACGGATTATATCATAAAATGAGATGCTACTTACCAAAAAACAATATTCTGGTTACAAACCTAACAAAAACATATCACAAACGATATAAAAGGTTTAAAACTTCTTGTTTTCGATTGCTCAAGTAAGTTTTTTAAAACTACACAACTTCAGCTACGGATTTCACTCAATGCCGATATTCGTGGAAGTATTTTCCGTGACGTGAGATCGTTTGTAATGTGAAAGTTTAAATTCAGCGTTTTTTAGGCATATTTAAACTGCCCCACATTTGTTGCCAAAGCTCACAGTCGACATTTTGAACCTATTCTCTATCCTTCCATTGTTGGATATAGGTCTCCCCCAGTTCTCTCCATCTTTCCCTATCTTGAGCTGTTCTCTGCCATATGAGATATGGCAGAGAACAGCTCAAGATCCCACAAGGAGGTCCCACATGGCAGATTTTGTTACATACTTTTAAAAATAGGCTTGTCGTACGATCGGAACATCCACCGAGATATTTGGCGTCTCTGGATGCGCCTCGACCGCCGCTGTGAGGCGGAGCAAACGTTCTTCGTCTCCATCCTCTACCGCATGGATATTTGTGTGTAACTCTCACACACTCGGTGAGAAGCTCACCTGTAATCACCAAGGGCCCACTGGCAACGCAGAATACCTTATCAGTTCAAGGGTTTTTACGTGACATTAAATTTTCTCTCACATGTATTAACTGTTTGGTATTCTGATCACGATGTATGCCTTGGATCTCGCAGAGAAGCTGGCCCGACATAGTCAAAAGGCACTCGGCCAACAAGATCTAGCTGGGGTCAAGATGTAGACCGACTTGATCTCTATGTCTCTATCGGAAGATGCGCTGCCGTTTTATATACTTCGTGTTTATAATTTAACAGCGATCGTCCGTCAGAAGGCCAATAACAATGCAGTTAATAAAACCGTCTCTTATTGGCCGACCAGAGTGACAATCTTTGTCCTGTTTTTTCACTTCTGACGACAGGCTGTATTAATTGAAATTCTATAGCCACCGATCAATAAAAGTAATGGATTTTATTGATCTTAAGAGAATCGTAAAAAATGGCAAAAATTGCGCAACGTTTATTTATTTAACAGCTTTATAGAAACAATTCATTTGCGGAAAACGCAAAAATTGAATTGAATTTATACCGTCAATTTAATAGAAATTTTATTTAAACAGTTGATTTCGACCGCGTAACTTAAATTTAAAATCGCCGGTCGCTTCAAGCGTTGTTTCTGAGAGAATGTTCATTCTACAGAAAAAGTGCTTAAAAACGTTTTTGTTTAAAATTATCGCAGCTACATTTTTTGTTTTAAACATTTTTTATTTTTTTCTACGATGTACAGATTCTTGCTAAATCAATGTTTTTGATCCTCACCTAGGAGGAGAGGGGGTTTAGGGTGAACCCGGGGTAAAAGTGGCAAACTTTTTGCATTTTTTTAGGGTCCAAAAATTGACAGTTTCAGAAAAATTCAGCTTGTTCTAACGATTTTTAGAGATCAAATCTCTGATGTTTGGACTAAAATACCAATTTCAAAGGCTAGAACTATATAAAGGTATATCCGATGATATCATAATAGCACTACAGTAGCTTATAAAAGAAATATGGAGGTCTGTGTCCCTCCCCAATGTTTGAAATATTCGAATACTTTACACCATATACAAAAAATAAGATATCTTTGAATGCTTTAACCAGAGAGTAATTACGTGTCTAAATCCATCGTATAAAATATTTTCAGATGCAGAACAAATAGCAGGAAAATACCAGACTGGTTTCAGAGGTTATAAATCAACAATTCATCAGATTGCTACCCTGAATCAAATTTTAGACAATCACTGGAATATGACGTAGATACTTATCACATATTTATAGACTATAGAAGGGAAATGTTTGAAGCAATGAAAGAGTTGAATGTAGAGTATGAATTTAGGGGGAACTGTCTGAATCTTTTTAAACAAATAACGGACTGCGCTAGAGAGAATCTCACTCCTGTATACTGTTTAATCTGGCTCTGGTAAAAAAGTAATATGTATGTCACAAATCACGACCATTGGTTCAATATATAATAAATCAGTGTAAATCCTTGCTTATACTGATGATATTAATATTGTTGAGAGAACGAAAAACGCTGTAAGAGAGGTGTATTAGCTGTAGCATTAAAAGAATCAGCTACAAAAATGGGTTTAATAATAGACACCAACAAAAAGAAGTATATGAAAATAAGCACACAACCACAAATCCTACAACCACTTGTTATCGAAAACGATGTCATCGAACAAGTGAACGAATATGTATACCTGGGAGCGTTCTTTAATACTGAAAATAATACTACCGCAGAGATAAACTGCAGAATTTGCACGGCCTACAGATGCTAGTTTGGGCTCAATCTTCTCCTTAACTCCGCAATTATATCGAGAAATGCAAAAATAAAACTCTACAAAACAATAATACACCCAGTACTAACATATGGTTCAGATACCTGAACTTTAACAAAAAATAATGAAAACATGTTAGGATGTTTTGAAAGAAAAGTACTAAGACGAATCTATGGAGTAGTGAATGACAATGGAGTGTGGACAAAACGATACAAATTAAAACTTTATAGAATATACCTAACAGGAACCAGATATCGTAAAACATATTAAGATAGGACGTATGAGGTCGATAGAGCATGTAATGCGGATGGAACAAAATGACCCAGCTAGAAAATGCTCCTTGATAGACCCATTGGTCAGAGAAGAAGAAGAAGACTCAGAATAAGGTTCCTTAATAACATCAATGAAGACATCAAAAATATGGGAATACGTTATTGGTGGAGGAAGGCGATGAATAGAGACAATAGGGTTGTAAATGCAGAATGATGAAAATGAATAATGATGATTATGAAGGCAGAAGGCTAAATAAAAATATAAGCCATAGGTATATGCAGAATTAAAGCTATTAAATTGAAAAGAATCTACTACTGAGACTAGTACTGAGAGAAAAAATCAACTACTGGAAGGAGAACAACTTGCGGTCGACAACGATGGTGAGACAATCTATGAAACCGATGATAAACCGA